GGAATCCTTCTCTCGTTTTGTTTTAACAGGCTTCTTCTCTGTTGCCCATTGCCAGTGCTATATTACGTACAGCGCACATTTTTTTTTTGTCTATCTCATATTCTACGTCAACTCCAAGCAGCCTCGGTGTAAAAGCAGATGAGATGATTTATTTTTATCACTCACTTTTTCTCGTGAGAAAGAGAACCCCTTGGGCCTGCCCTCTCTACTGGCTTCCTCTTAGCACAGTCATTTGCATCTTGGCAAATGGGGTCTATAAAATGCTACTGAATTAAATCACTGAAGTGTTTCATCATATTTAGTTTGCAGTCACTCTGATAGACTCTTTGCTGGTCTAAATAGCTGCAGTCTCACTGATTCGAGTGGAGTTTTCCTTCTTTGCACGAAAAGGGAATTGGCTCAACCTGGACAGGTGGCCAGAAGTCATTACAGATGACAGACAGCAGAGGATCAGCCCCTGTGATTTCAGGTCTGATCGCAGTTGTTTGCAATTCTCCTGTACACTCATGGAAGACACTTTATGTGTTAAAACTTGCTGCAAGCCTTTGATATCTTTGACCTTTTTAAAAAAGTCTTTTAAATTTTGATATTCCCTAAGAAGACAGATGGTATTTTTTGATTGAATAGATGGAGATTTCATGTCTAAACGCATTTCTTGGTTTCACTTTGTTAGACTAGTTAACTGCTCTCTGTATGTTCTATGCTGCTCTCAATCTTTTCTTGTAATTTGTTTTTGAATGATACTATCAAAAAGTTACAAAGAATTAAACGTGCAGAAATCCCCCTGGAAAACATTAGTAATGTCCTGCTAGCGTCTCCCTCTGGATCCAAATGTGGATATTCAGGTACATACAGTCCCACCTGCAACTACACTTCCAAGCCAAAAATTGCCCTTGACACCTTCTGATATATGGAATAAATGTTTGACTCCAAATGCCATGAGTAACCAGATACAGACCTTCAGGAAGTAGGTAGGGAAGCTGTGAAAAAATTGCAAAGCCTGTCAAAAGCTTTGGCTTTGGAGAGGATGAGAAAGAGCCCTCTGAGTATTGATGCTGAACCCGGGATGCGCTGGGTGCAGTGCATCTCTCGTGGTTGCAGTCTCATGGAACAACAGCTGAAATAGCAGAACTGGTGCCCTATTTTCTTCTTCCATCACCTGAATAAGTCATCTGGAAACAGGACAAATGATACATTTTCAACAAAATAAGGAAATCCCTCTGAGCAGTTCTCGTTTACAGCACAATCATAAAAATCCTGGCAAAAAAATCAAACCCTTTCCCTATCAATTCAGCGCACAGCATTGCTAGTGCGGTCGGTGTCAACAGTTAAATAGCTGGTGTGGGGGCAGAAGACAGAGGCTGCTGTGTTCTTGGTGCTGCAGCTCAGACAGAAGATGAAATCATGGTAGTTCAGCATTGGGTGAAGACTTAACTACTGATTTTCTGGCTTTCTGTTTACACTGGAATAAAACCTGCTTGTGTTTGAAAGAAATTTTGGTTGTTAGGAATCTGTATGTGTGTGTCTGGTGCTAATTATTTAACAAAAGCTTCAAACCCAAGAAATACAACTACCTACTTTTGCAGAGCTGTAGAAGAACGTGGCTACAGTCTTTGCTTGATGGTGAGATGGTTACAGCACTGTATTTGTAAGCGGTTTTTTTACCGTAATGGTCAGAGGGTGATTTTGAATGACTTAAAAACAGGTGCATGGTACAGGAGAAAAACAAAAGGCCATATTTTTGGCCCTGGCCATATTATTTATGCCTTTAGCGAGTGCCACTTCTTAAGTAATTCGGTATTTAAAGATTTACTTGTTTTCTCTACATAGTACAGACCCCGGACACATGGCTGAACCTGCATATGGAGCATAAGACGTTTATTGGGGAGGTGGAAAATATGTCTGCTTATTGTAGTTTCAGATTTTGGCTTAGGTCAGGAAGAAATTTTTCAAATTTTCGAAGTATTTTAGCATGTTGATCCTTGGGACATTTTTGTATTTATTTCAGACACTGCGAATAAAGAGAATATGAAAATTTTCAAAACAGATTCTACACTTAGTCTGAATTAAATCAAAAGCCAGATTTCATACAGGGACCTTAAGCATTTGGTACTTTAGGAAATGGTAACTTCCAGAAGGGTCGTTTTCTTTGGTCTGGGACATTCTGAATGTCCCAGTTTTTGGCTGCTAGACTTGTAGGTTGAGAAACTTTGAGGCTGCCTGCTGATCCGTATCATCTGAGATCTGAGTCTATTTAATGAATCTCAACTTGAGCATCCAAAAGCAGAAGCACTCTGACTTACTAATCGCTGTGAGAGATCTTGGCCTAACCACATCAATTAAGAACAATAGTTCCCTAGTAGAAAAGAAACATGATGACTTGTTTCCAGTCACTTGCATTTATTTATCAAAGACATGCCCTTGTTTCACTTTGTAAATCAACATCACCATGACTTTGGGTACCTTGTGTGTCTGTGTGTTTATATGCGCTTTAGGCTAATGTTTGATGACATGTCCTTCAAAGGTCTCTTTAAAAATCCAAGTTTTGGTCTAATAAGATGGAGAGTTTGCTGAAACACATCATAAATGCGGTACTAGAATATTTACACTGATATTCTAGGGAGCACAATATTAGTGTAAAACTGCTGTTGCTGCTAATAGACTTTGGGTTCATTTCACCATCAGCTGAAAGTTTGTGGGTTTTAAAGAGGTTTTTTGATAAAACTAAAAGGTGTTGTAGGAATGAGATGTGGAACATTTTAGAGAAGGATGCAGTGCTATACATAATTTATAGGGCACTGTTTGTACAGTCAATTGTTAAGTTATAAATAAAATACAGCCTTAAAACAAAGATGAAAGGCTGAAACTGTGGGTAGTTATTTCCTCTGTATTTCTATTAAAAAAAAAAATTTCGAAGTTTGTTCAAACAGTCACATTTTGGTTTGGTTATTGATATTCACAGTGTTGTGTCTATTTTTGGATGTATCACATTGAAGACTTTCATCTTTGTCATGCGGAGTGCCTTTTCCTCTGGTAAATCTTCTGCAGGCTGCAGGACAGTTTCTAAAGCTCTGTGAGGTGCCCAGGCACAGCCAAGGGGAAACCACGGGGAGGCAAATGAGCCTCTGTCATACCAAATTTCCAAGTCCCAGAGCTACTGAAGAACAGTTAGAACAGGTCCCTCGATCACTTCCCATTTTGATTCATTCCAGTTTGGCGCCTACCATCGCAGTACTTTCCCCCATCCCATGTGAACCTCAGCTCCCATTTCTTTGAGGCTGAGGGCACTGAGGCAGCTCCACAGCCTGCACCAGAGAAGTCCCTTGAACTGGAGAAACGCTGAGCCCGTTTAAGATCATTAAAAATGAGTTTAGTGGATTTAAGAATACAGTCCATATACTTTTCAGAATAATTTATTATAGATCTTTGCATTGGTGCTCAGAATGAGGTGAGGAAGAGGTTTCTCCTTAGAGTCTCTGAGCAGTCTTTTTACCGGTAGTGGAGGTATTTCCTGAATGTGAGTAGCAATAGCACAGGGTGGGCCTGATGAAACAACACGGGTAAAATATATCATATTATTATAGGTCACGGGCTAAGCATATCATGCAGGTACTGTGGGGCAGCAGGAGGTACCTGGTTTGAAATCTCCCAGTTCTCCTGCAAGTGGTGCTGATGCAGAGGTGCGATACTGAGCAAAAACATTCTGGCTGCTGAAGAGGAAAGACATGACCAATTTGAACTTAGGAGTGAAACATTTCCTAGAAATGAGCCTGAATAAATTCTGGAACAGTTGAACAGGAAATAAGCTAATAATGGTATTTTACAATATGCATTTCCCATATAAGGCACTGAAATGTAGCATGGGTTTGTTTGCTGATCTTCTGGCTATTTTGATGAAAATTTTAGGTTTCTTCACTGTTTGCGCTCCATTACGATTGTGAGGACTTTGCTCCATTCTAGGCTGAAGTTTTTCGTCTCGCTGCTGTCATCGGTGGTCCCTGGATGGACCATTCCTAGATCAGACCAGGGAAGAGACTAGTTAACAATTCCTCCTTGCTGCCTTTTGTTTGTGTTGGGGAGCTATTTCCTTTAGCCCTTGAGACTGATGCATAGGAAGGGGAAGAGAGGTGGGGAGCGCCCATCTCGGTGTGGTTCATACTTCTGAAAATAAGTTCCCCAAAATCTGATGTGGGGAAAGGAAGCCCTGGCTCCAGGGAGCCTGCTGTCTCCCTCAATAAACAAAGGACTGGATTTGGGCAAGTTGCCCAAAGTGTTGGTGCAGGGTGCGTTCCCGTCCTCACTGCTTTGCCTGGCCTTTTAAGGATATGTGACAGTATGCTGGAGACCACAGTAAGGTGTGTAATTCAGCGATGATTAATGAGCACAAGGCTCTTCTGCAGCTTCGGTGTTTCTGTAGCATTGGTCAAATTCCCTTCTCACAAGTAACTCACTAAAGTTTTCAGAGTTTGGCCTCTTCTGCACTGTGAATGCAATCTCTTGCCAGCTCTTACGCTACATTAATTTAGAGCCATCTACCTTTCCAAATGTGCTCTGTATTGTGGAACAGGTTTTGCTTGTAAATACGAGGCCAGATGTTCAGAAGAGGAGAGCTCCCGTTTAGGCATCTAGCAATTACTGCTGTGACACATACCGATCGCAGCTGAAAATCTGAAATCTGTCTGCTTAGACAATAAAATACTCAAGCTGGCTAGTTTGCGCAGTGCTATAAGAAGTGGCCTATATGCATATAATTCAGGAGTTCGTTCAAAATAGCATGCACTGAATCACGGTCTCACTTAGTTTTAAACCATAGCTTGTGCCAAACTAGTTATTTTGATTTCTTGCCAAGCAGGGGCTCACTTTCCAGTTACAACTAACATTTTCCTTTTCTTTTTCTGCAAAATCTATTAATGAAGGCTAAATGAAATAATGAAGGTAGGTCTACTGGCTAGATAAGAAATAGGTCTGATTCATTAATAAATGTTTCTTTTCTTTTCCAGTGACATATTCGATGCCATGTTCCCTGTCACACACATCGCAGGAGAAACAGTCATACAACAGGGTAATTCTTCCCCTCGTTTTTTCCCTTGTATGTTTGCTAAGATTGCACAATTCTCATCTCTCCGTTTGAGATTTCACCCTCTTGGCTTAAGGGGAAGAATAACCATTTTCCAAAAGCTTCTGAGTGTGCAGCTATATCATAAGTTCATGGATGCAGGTCTTTTGCTACATGTGCAGAGATCGCCTATAAAACCAAACTGGCAGATCTCCAGGGTTTCAAAGTACTACAGTTAAATATAGATAAATAGCACTTCAAACTAAAATGTTCATTCCTTACCTGAAGATAGTCAGGAAGTAAAGCATAGCTCAGAATGCATAAGGGTGGCACAGGCTAGCTGAGAGTAATTAGAGATGGAAAATATTTTTATGGTTGTTGGGAATATTCAACACCTCAGTGTGCTGTATCGTAGTTATCGCACTTGGCAACTTACCTGCGTGCCTGCAGTGTGTTGTGGAGGACTTCATTACCCTCAGGCTATATTAAAGCCTCTTGTGTGTTTACACTGAATGAAGTGTTGAATCAATCAAAAGAGATAAATTAATGCAATTGAAAGATATTAATAGGAAGAAATCATAGCAATAGTTTGATTTATGAAGGCAAATAGGCAAGGATGTTTCAGAAAATTAACCTCTCTGTAAGTAATCTGGTGTACAAACCTGTGCAAATATGTACAGGATTAAATATGGAAACAGGAAATAATTGAATAGTTTAGCAGACCTTCAGGAAACAATCACCTTTTGTATTTTGCTTCCAGGTGATGAAGGAGACAACTTCTATGTGATTGACCAAGGCGAGGTGGATGTAAGTACGCTCTTACAGTGTAATATTTATTTTGAAGCTGCATAATAAAATTGTATGCTCTGGCACACAGGTCTCTCCATCCATGTGCTGTGGTTCTGTCTCCTTTCTTCTTGAAATAGATTTCACAGGATTGGTTTCATTACTTTGCTTTTGTTGTGTTAAGTCATTTGTGCATAATTTTATAATTGGCATGTTTTACATCCTAGCTTATTTGTCCATTCCAAGCAGGAAAATATGGTATCAAAACCAAGCAAATGACATTATCTTTAGAACCCTAACCACACCTGGAGGTGTGCAGTCTTTGGCAGAGCAGGCCACCATGCTGGAATGCACCCGAGGGTTCAGATCAACCATAAGGAAAATATTTTCTTTAATCAGTTAGCTTAGCTCATGTGTTTTTTTTTTTTCCCCCCAAATAGAGATACAGCCTGAGGCAGCAAGTTTCATCTTAGAAACCTTAATTTGCTTTTAAAATTAGGTCCAAATGTATGAACAATGCAGCATATTAATAAAGCAAGAATTATTATAAGTGTAAAGTGATCTGTTAGACCACGAACTGTATACAGGAGTATGCGGTGGTTTAATCAGCAAGTCTTTGAAAAGAAACTTCTTTCTGAGCCTGCCTTCCAAATCGCAATCTATTCACCTCTTACCATTTTTATCCCGTATGAAACTCACCCTTTTGCAGTTTTGCTACAAGTTCCTCATTCGACTGAATTTTCTACACACACCTTACCGGATAGGACAGGCTTGCTCATTAGCAACGTTGCTCTTCGGATGCCCAGATGAGTTTTGTTTGGCATATTTAAAGAAGAAAGTGATTTATTTTAAATCCGGGCAGGAGGCATACAGTTATTTTAGTGAAAGTTATTTTTTATAGCAGTCTGTTTGTGTCAGGAGACCATCTAATTGGTATTGTTGGGAACTGAGAAACCTCACATGCTGCCTCTGCCTCTGGAAGTTGCTCCTCAGGAAATCCGTCTGACTCACTGTTCCTATCAGGCATACCTCTCAATAGCAAACATTGCCACATCCACAGGGCTAGAAAATAAAAGAGCAATATTTATAGAACAGTGCTAAAATTTAGTTTTAAAATAATTGGTTCGGATCTGATACTGAGCTTAATGAGTTCACTGGCTTTGAATCAGACCCACAAACATACACAAATGCACATATTGAAGTTATAGATTAATCCTCTTTAAAAATAATTTGTCCTCGCTCAAAACCTGTAGGAAAGCTTTCTTCAGTGTTTGGCTCAGGGATAGGGGGGACCAAATGACACCAGAAAACAGTCTGCAAAACCCTTGCAATTAATTGCAAAAAAGATAATCTTCCATATGCACATATTGCTCTTACAAAGCAGTGACAAAATGGGGAAAATAAATGTCCAGGGCCTAGCTAGCTTTGTATCTGCTTGCTAAAAAAAAAAAATGGTTTGTGGATTTTCTGTAACTGGTGGTTGCCACTAATGGCCAAGGTGGCCATAGCCCTGCAAACGTTGAGAAGGACTTGTTTAGAGCACTAGTTGCTCTATTCTCTGTCGGGTAAGATGGCATCTTAGTTCCCTTCCCAGGTATATCCTGGTATCTTCTCAGAAACCACTTTATTGCATCGTGTTACTTGTATATAAGAAGTTCTCCTTGTTTTTTTATGGAAAGTTGAAATTCTTTTATCTTGACCACAAATAGCCCAAGAAGAGACAAGTGTTCAGATCATTTTTCATTGATGGTTTCTTGAGTTCATTAAAGTCTTATGCAGAATAATCTTTTATTTCCCAGAACATTTCAATGGCCTTTGAGGTTTCTGAGATAGGATTTGGGGTAAAATTTGAAAAACTACCACAATGACTAAATGGCCTCAGCGCCACTGCAATGCAATTACACGTAGGCTCTTAAACTGTATAGGTGTTTTTGAAAATTTTATCCCAGACTGCTGATTTGACAAGCTACATAAGCACCGGTGGGCCTTTAAGCACCTGAGCAATTCTGTTGACTTCAGTGAGACTCACTGTTTTGCTAAACGAAGAGCATAGTGCACAGCTTTGTTTTATGCTGTTAGAGTTGAAGGCAGAAGTTTTCTTTGTATTCCGAGTAGTTTGCAGTCCTCCAGTCAGTTATGTATGATATAGGATATACATTTTTCCTGCCTTGTCTTTGAGACTCGCAACAGCAGATTTTCTGAGGAATGAATGAAATAACTGGGTTTCTTCGAGTAGATTGCAACTTCACTTTCATGAGCATTCTTGATCCCTACTCCCCTAATTGCCAAAATCAGCCTATAGCTGCTAGGACAGATCAAAATGGACAGATCCACAATAATGTCATCCTGACACTTCTCAGACACACGTATGGACAGTTTTCTGACATGACCTGTGGGACAAATGCATCCTAACAAGACTTAAGAGACGTCATTTGGACTGAGCTTATTCCAGAAGCTCCTCACCCTCTAAGTTTTGCAAAACTCTGTGACCAGCTCTCATGCTGTTCCCCTTCAGCATCCCCTTCCTTCATCCTGCTGCACCTTACCGCTCCTGTCCCCATTTCCTCAGATGGGTGCTCTCTCCTTCCTAAGACTTTCCTATATCTTCAGCCAAAACACACACTGAATTCCTTTGCAAGATACTGTGGAAGGCACAAGAAACGTTTGCTCATCTGAGAGCAAGTTGGAACTACACCCTGGTAGCTGCAGAAGTTACCTGTGGTGACTGCCTTGGCTGGGAAGCCCATTCCGCCCCCCCAGAGTAAAGCCTGTACCAGGGCAGTTAGTGCAGAAAAACTTGTTCCTGTATAAGGCAGCAGCTCCCAGATCTCATGGGTGTGCACTATCACACCGTATATAGTGCTCCCCAGAAAAGAGTTCTTCCACTTTCTGGGCAGCAATGCTAAAATCCTTATTGTCTGAAGAAAATCCAGACCGCTAGTAAGCGAGCTGCAGTTCATTTAAGCCTTGCCAGATAGTTTTTTGGCATGCTTCCACCCTTCTCTAAGAAAAAAAGCAACTTGGAAAGTAGACAATTGACCCCGGGACTTAAAGCCTCAAGCCATTTTCTGCCTAGTTCAGCTGGCGTTGGCTTCTGCATGGAGGCTTTTAACCCCTGGCCAGGCTATCTGCTTTCATCATTTCCCTGGTCTGCACAGAAGTGGCAGGTATACCAGGACTGTTGGATTCAAGGAGCAATTTAGTCTGAGAACATCATGACTGATAAGCACCCAGGTTTTCCATACACATGCAAAGATACATGTAATGGAGGTCACAGCTGCCATCATAAAATTGCCATCTCCTGGAAGAAAGTCATAGTAAAAGTAAAAAAAAAAATATAATTTATCAACCATGCAACCAAAACCAAACAGAACCAAAGCCAAAATAACAAAAGCAGCGTGTGATGTTTTGAATTTAAAAAAACCCCAACATTTAAAAGTAATTTACTGTTAAAGTTTCGGCATAGGCACCCCGAAGAGTAAGAAAGAGCATCCTAATATTTTTCCTTAGAAATAATCTGAGTCAAATTAGAAGTAAAATAAAATATTTTAAAATATAATAACACTTTATCCTCAACTCTTACACTTTCTTAGGGTATAAACAAGCCCTGTTAGCATATCCATAGAATAAAATATCTGTATGTTTCCTTCCTGGTATTACTATGGACTCCAAAGAAGATGCAATGCCCTTCAGTTGGCAATCACACTCAACATGGACTGTGGGCCTAGGGAGAAGGGCACAAATTTTCATACTTAAAAGAAAAGTTTTTAGAAATCAGAAAGAGGTATGTCTTGGAGAACCTGTTTTTTTCCTGTCATACACTGGGTACTACAAACAGATATACTTCGACCAAAGCAGGCATTGAATGGGAAAAGATGTTACAGCGTTATCAGTCACAGTCTTCCTCTTTAGCTGTTCAGAGTTGAGGAGAATTGTTAACTCATGACCTGGCCCTGCAGATGGATAAAATTTACACTAGGTAGATGATGGCATGAAGTTTGAAGTCTTAGAGGTCAATTGTCTACCGGAAGCTTTTCTGCTCAGACAAATGTGAATGTATGCCAAAAAGTAGCTGGCAGAGCTTAAATTATAGTTTCCAGTAAAGATGTTGAAAGTACCTGCTAAAGTATGTGTCTTGCAAAAATCTCTAATCCATATTTCTAAATATAAAAACTTCCTGTTTATTATTTTAATCTTATAACCTCACATTTTTTACTTTAAAAAGCACCGTCAACTACCCTTTTAAAACAGATGTATTTTTTTTAGACCCAACAACTTCCTATTCTATTTAATGTCACAGCAACTTTCTCTACAGTCATTCTCAGGTTTTCTTCTTGTAAAACAACAGCAGCCAAACTATAGCATAGTGAAAATCAAAATGAAAACTTTTCAGTGTTTTTTCTTAAATAGGTTCTGTATTTACTGTATAAATCTATATGTGGAGCTATACATGAATGTTGTGGACAATAGATAAGATTATCTTTTGATTGTAGGCCAATTCTTCTTGAGGCCCTTATTTGTATATACAAACTGTCTAATTTGTATGTACAAAGATGAAAATTACATGGTGGTTTATATGAGAATACTGTTGCATTTTAGAGCTAGTTATATTTTATGGTTAGATTTCATAGATTGCTTTTTGTTTGAATTTTTCCATCATTAATGTTCTTTCTAATTTCAGAAGGATGCTTTTTGAAATTTGAAACAGAACATTTTAAAGTTTAGAGTTTTTCAGCTTGAATTTTTAAGGATTCTCAAGGCAGTCTCCAATTTCGTATATTTATATTTAAGAAAAGCACATTCATACTACAAATAAAACACTGGCTTTATTTGAGAAAACTACCCACATATAAATACCCTTCATGTCTAAGACTTGCTTATTTTTCCAAGAATAAATAAGCCTCATCTTCATTTTTGGGTAACAAATATTAAGGCTTGACAAGACACAAAGCACAAATTATTACAAACAGATCCGAGGGAGGGGGTTTAAGATCTAAAACTTGCAATGCCTGGAACAAATTAGATTGTCCACATAGATCACAAAGTGGCAGCAAAAACAATGCTAAAAGTTAACTTGAAATCAGCAATACAAAATTAAAGTAAAGGTAAATTCACTCCAATGAAGCTCAGAGATGGATGCTCATATCCTGCCTTCAAATTAAAATGTCTCTATTACTGCTCATGGTAAGGTTACTTTCTGCTTCTCTAGACAACATGAGTTAGGACAAGATGCATTCCTATTGCATTGAGCATTGTGTGACTCACTGCATTTTCTCTCGCAGTTAGTGTGTATGTATATCGCAGCCTATGAAGAAGGGAATTGCTGATGTTCACAGGAGATTTTTCCCATTCGCCTCCTAAAAAAAAAAATGAAGTGAACCAAGTTGTGTGGTGTTCAAGCCCCCCAAAATTGCAGTGCTTATACTACATGATGGAAAACAATAAAAATCTAAAGTACTTTTTATCTGTGGAAAGTAGGTGGTCCTGATGGCTTGATTATATTTGGGCATCTGCAGTTCTACATTCCTCTTCAGCTGCATGAAAGAAGAAAGTTCCAGCTATTACGGAGCTGTGATCGGCAGGTCAAGTAACAATTAGGAATAATTCATGTAATGTACTTGCCACTTTTGTGAGACTTCGCAAATGCCTAAAACTGCCTGAGCCAAAACCTCAGCCCAGCATTTTTTAGGATAAAGACAGAGATCATCTGAGCTGCTGCCATGTAACATTGGCTTTCATAAGCTGTTCTGCGCCTAAAATAGCTTTACTTCCCACACCTTACAAACAGAGCTACTTTCCTTTCTACCTCTTTTTTTAAAATCTATTTTAAAGGCATTCATAGTGGAGCTGAACTCTCTATTAAAGGGCAGAATGGCTTTGTAACATGCCATCAATGCACTTTAACTTCATTGTGAAGACAAAGGTTGATTGTTGATTTAGGCCTTTGCAGAGAATAAAGTGCAATAGTTTTCCTCCTAGAAAACAACAGTTATTCTCAAGCTGTTTCCTCTTTTGGAGATTGATATTGGAAATGGCATTTTTATTGGGGGAGTGAATGCTGGGTCCAAAGACTGTCAGATCAGTGATTTGGTTTCACCTCAGAGTACTTTAAACCTGACACCCTTGGGGTGGAGGAATGGCCATTTGATAAACTGTTTACAGGCGAGATGTCAAATATGTTTTGGGGAGTCTTGTGAAGTAAGAACAGCAAAATTAAAGAAGTCTTAGAGCAGTTTAGTAGTAGCTTCTCTTTATAACAACTGTTAAACAGTAAATGTCCATCCTTCACTTGCTCTACCTTGAGTTTTACCAGCGTAATTCCCCTCTCTGGGCTGCAGTCATATTATGCATACTGCTTTAACAAGAAATGTCACCGTACTGCTTAAAATTATACATGTTGGAATGAGTTTATTTCCTGCTTATACTTCAGACCCTGGTTTATGTTGCTTAATGAAACTGCCGTTGCATTAACAAATCATTTTACCACACCACCTCTTCTGCAATAACAAAACCTGTGCTTTTCAACAAAAGAGCATATAGAAACACGTATGTTTTTGGTGTGCTGAAAAAGAGTCAAGGATGCAATATCTGCTGACATTCAGGATGTGGTCCAAAACTCATTGAAATTATTAGGTTTTCCCCATCATCCCAGAGACTTTACTGAGAACATGAATTACTTTAACAAACCCTGGGTCCATCTGGTGAAATCCCTACAGAAAGGAGGTATCCCTACATTCAAATACACATCTAGACAATTTTGGATTAATTGAATTTAAAAATTTTCATGCATTCTCATTATGTTACAAGCCTTTCAGAATCCTGATTTTGTTCATCCATTTCTTCTGCTTTTCTCACAAAAAAGATCCAGGAGTCACAGTATTACCTGCTTGTTTCACCAGGAAAGTGCTTGGTTTTGCCTGGCTTTTTAAAAACTTTTTTGCTTTCATTTTTTTCATTGTGAGGAGAATCAAAAGTAGATTCAATGTTCTGTGAGATTTTCGTTCTGCGGTGAGTTTAAAAGTCTGAAAGGAAACGCTGTTGTTATTCTCTCGTGTGATATTCTCCTACGTGACATTCATTTTGTCATGGTGAAGATATGAAGCTACAAACAGCTTTTGTGGCTTGAGCTCGCTCTTGGCAGTCTGCTACCACCTGCCTGTTTGGGATTATTTTTACCCTTTGTTTCAGCCCCTTAATCCTCAGATGCTCCAGGAACACCAAGAGCCCCAACATTGCCTGGAGTTCAGCAGTGATGCTAATACTGCTCCTTTTCAGCTGATACCCAAGAGGTCTCTTGATCAGCTGAACTGCCCCGTGGCCTCATCCACCTCCTACTGAACCAGCGTTTCACTGACCTCAGTGGGAGCTGGATAGGCTCTTAATTGAATATTGGGAAGATAAATTGGGATTGATTCCAGCTGTAGTTCGTAATATGCCTTTTCATTGTAAAATGAAGATGGAAGTAAAATTAATACTGACAGTTTGTTGAATTTTGACCCTAGTTCATTTATTTTGGTCACCGTCTTTTCTCAAGCCCAGCTTGAACACAGCTCTAAATCATGTATTTTTTAAAAACTGCTAATCTGTTACTCACTAATTGGTAATAGGTTATGGTCTTTTCCTTTGCCATAGTTTCCTGCTGAAAAATTTTCTTCTTATTATTTTTCTTCACAGAGCTTCCAAACAAAGGAAATTCATTCTGGTTGATTTCTGGTGTTACTGGTCTGTAACAGATTGGGAAATATTCTGCACTGGGTAAACGCACACAGCCTTTCCTACCCTCTAAACTCACAGACACATTAGCAGAATGAAAAGGGTTTATTGCGTAGGTTTATAGCAGCAAGCCTACAAGCAAGCTGCAGAACACACAATCCATACCAGTCTTTGAATACACTATTATGTCTCATGAGCTGTATTGTCCATGAATAGTGAGGAAAATGCAGCCCAGTGGAAAGCACCTGCACGAGTCCTCCTTTCTCCAGTGAAGGTTTTACATAGCACTCAAGTGTAGGAATTCTTCTCAGATTGGATGTCATCCAGGAAAAATATTGTGGTAGTGGTATCGATCGGTACTGTGTTTTGAGAGGATATGTTACCTAAATGCGATGTGGGTCAAATACTGCTTCTGTAGAGCTGATGTTAAAAACAAAGGACAATTCTGTGTATAGCTTCTCAAGTCCAAAGCACTTAGTAGTCTTCTCTAAGGGAGAAACAGATCTCAGTAGTTATATTTAAGTGGTTGTTGGACGCACTAGGCTTAGGGAAGAAAAAGATGTTCCTTTTGCGAAGATGTTTCCCTCTTTTGACTGTTTTTCATTTCATGGCCATGGTGCTTTTCAGCAAACCTCATTACACATATCAACAACTCTCTTTCCTTTCAAGTTTGACAGTGTTAATAAAAAGCCAAAGTTGTGACAGTTCTGCTTGTTGACTGTCTGAGCCTTGAACACAAGAGGGAAAACACGATGCCAGTTAACCACAGGAGCTGAAAACTCAGAGAGTAAATACAGTCAGTAAATACTGAAGCAAGACGACTTGAAATTCTGTCCACAAAGCGGTTTGTAGCCCTCTTTGGGGACTGACTGCGGAAACCGTTAGGCTCTTGTTTTCCTTCTGTGTCCCCAGCATTGGCGATTAGAAAGGAAATTCCTAATAGATTTTTAGGTAACTGACAGTAGGAGGAAAACTGGAACTAAGTCCCCAAACTGGTTTTGCTTCTCGTTTTGTCTTGTGCTGTGGTAGGTTTATGTAAACGGGGAGTGGGTCACCAGCATCGGAGAAGGAGGCAGCTTCGGGGAACTGGCATTGATCTATGGAACACCCCGGGCCGCCACCGTCAAGGCCAAGACAGATCTCAAGCTCTGGGGCATCGACAGAGACAGCTACAGACGCATTTTAATGGTAAGTTTATGGAGAAGGGCTTGTTTATGGAGTTGATAATTTTACTTTCTCCTGCAGTACTAGCACTTCTATTCTGTGTTCAGAGTACACTGATGATAGAAGGCTGCGCGGTCTGTGTTTCTATATAAAAGAGAGAAGACATGACAATAACATTGAGTAACTAAATTAAGTGAACTGAAGGAAAAGGGGACAAGATTCAGCAGAAAGATGCTGAGTCAGAAATGCAATTGAATAACATTATTCATAACTATTATACATGAATGAAAACCTCAGGAGGCCTCCGTTACCCACCGAAGCTATGCAAATCCTCTCCTTCTCATCGTGAAACTCAAAATGTCTTTCAGCACTACCCCTTGCCTCTGAGGTCTTTGTCTGAACTTGTATTATATTCTTTAGGGCAGGCAATACAAGGCAAATCCAGCTCCGCAAAAAAAAAAAAGTATCAGTTGGACTGTGCCCTCCATCTTCGTTAGCCAGCACACAGCCACATGTATCATAGGATGGTAGCTGCAGAGTCCCTGCTAGTGATTCATTGCTCTGCTCCTTTCAAACTCCCTGATCTCTGCAGCAAAGCTCAACAGACCTTCTGGGCACCTGGGGTGTGTGCTAGCTTATGGATTTGCTGTGGTTTCTCAAGTGGTGAGTTTATAATGGAAATTTTGACACATAATTAACTTTAGCAATGTCATAACTTTTTTAATGAGTTTGTTTCCAATGTCCATGTGCATATTTTTTCCTTCTCCATAAAATATTCCTTTCTTTTAGATAATTAACAGACAGATAACTCTATGTAAAGCTTCTTTCTCAATAGGGCTTGACTCTAAAAACTGCGTTGTTTCATTCTGATCTGAAGGAAATTACACTATGTTCTCAGAATAATAAAGGAGTATGCATTTTGAGATCATCTATATTTCCAGTGGATGTCATGGATAACAGAAAAATTAGCAAAAGAATTGAGTAGATTTTACTCTTAAATGATTAGTTCTTAAGCAACAGAGTGTAAGAGTGGTCTTTATTTATACTGTGTGATGACTGTTGGATGTCTGTATGAAACGTCGCTGTTTTTCACTCCGCATTTCATGGACTGAGTTCTGTATCACATAAAGGAGCATCACACTGACATCTAGAGAGAACATCTGATGGAAATATACTCTATCCCAAAATATGCAGCCTGATCACTCCAAGACAAAATAGAGGAATAATGATGAGAAGCATACTATATTTTCTCTTGTGGATAAGCAGGATGAATAGTTTTTGAATACTTCTCAGTGCAGGGAAGCAGGCAGTAGTAACTGAGACCTTTCTGCAAGGTACTTCTAAACCATAGAGCAGGAGAATTTCCTAACAGATTTAAGGGGCACACTCAACTTATTTGTCCCATGTCCTACATGCATGCAATGGAGCGGTGTCTGGGATAACTGGTGCGATGAACCTGCGTGCTGCAAGGAAGAATCCAAGGTATAGAAGAGAAGGAATGTAGGAGGGAAATAAATGTCAGGACAAGCCACATATTCCTTGGCTTTTTAAGCATAGCTTTTTACAGCTGCCTATAACCTTGCTACTAAAGATTGTAACAGGCCTCATAGCCTAGAGGTAATTTCAGTTTTAGCGTTGATGAAAATAGTGGTACCTAATATCATCCAACCCTGTGGGCAGTTCAGGTTTGGTCATGTGTCCATTACCATCTGATAGCAGCCTTCAGAAGATGAATATTTGATGCCGAGACAGGATTTTACTAAAAGGCTTTAAAGTCCCAAGTGGAAAAGACTGTGGTTTTAATGCTAGCTTTAGCCATACATACAACTTGAATATTATGGGTATACTTCTATTTGATTCTAGTGTAGTGCTAAGTGCTTTTCAAATTAATTTACATATTCTCTGAACTAGTGACCACTGTACCTTACCTAGCAAGCTCAGTTTCTGCAGTTGATGAGACCTTTAACTTAACATGGAGGTTTTTTCTCTCCCTCTCTCTTTTGTGTTTTTTTTACAGTTGGGGCCATTAAAAATTGGTGGTCTGTTGCATTACATTAGATACCCAGACAGTGTAATTATGATATTCCCAATACTTAGATAGGAAATATTTCAGGTAGCATGGTGAATTCATTGCTGCAGGTATAGAAAATGTCCAATTTTAAGTGCTGTCCATGGTGAATGCAATTTACCCAACCAGGCTACATGAATTCTGTCATCTTTTCATTTATTTGTAGGTGCAGCGTGGATAATTTCTTTGCTGTAGGTGAAATGAGACACCTGTCTGTGCATTCGTGTGGGGGCAGGTTATAGTGGCTCTCTGAACATTTCTTCAAGCCCAAGAATTAATTACATCATGTTTCAGTGGCTGCATTTCATACTTGAAACTAACTCCACCATTACACAACTGGTTTTACTATACTCAGTTTCAAGATGCAGTAGTAGCTGCCTTTCAAGTCCCAGAAACACGGTTTCCTGCCATTTAGCCTCTAACCTTATGTTTTTAGAAAGCTGCTGGATATTTTGGATATAGAAATGCTTTTGCCTTTAAATAAGAGGTAGTAATGCTTAGTGTATCTTTTTAAATATATGATATATTTAAATGTAAGATGATTTTAAAACTGAGGGAGCATTTTTTTTCTTTTTCTGTTTGCAAATACTTTTGTCCAAGGGATCAATGACCTTTTTCTCCCAAAGATACGTTTTTTTTTCTGTAGTCAGATAAAGCCCCTCCATAACCTGACATAGTTTTTTCTTTCGTCTGCATTCCTTCCAGGCCATGACCGGCCTCATGTTTCTTAGTCTAGTGTTGAAATTTTATTCAAGTTGTAAATATTTATTTGCAAACCATGCCTTCAGATCCACACTTGCCAAAAAGATTTTATCCTGTCACAAGACACTTGACTCTCTACCTCATTTCTCCTTGCAGGCTCTGTTATGGTTCTTTGCTTCGCATTTAGTAATTTCTAGTTTTTATTTCTGCTTGGTGCCATTTTCCCCACTTATGTGTCTCATTGATCCTGACTGGTTTATGGTATGAGTAAAATGCATCTCAGGAGGTTTGGGAGTTTGGGTTTTCCTTTTTTTGGATCGACCAAGCCTGATGCAAAAAGTTCCTGCTGGCTTTTAGTTACACTTGTCATCTATTTATTATTTAGCCTGTCACAAAAGAAGTTTGTTAAAACAGATATATTTCTTTATATTTCGTTGTCTCAGCTTAGGTATCCTGATGGCTTGAAGGTCACATTCAAGTTTGTTTTAGCAGCTGTGATGATTGTAAATGTTGGGATAGTGCTTTTTGTTAGGATTTGCAGTGAAATTGCTTGGCTTTCACTGCAGTCCTTGACAAAGTATTAAGCCATGAAATTCATTGTACTAGCTGGATTACAAAAAACCGCTTCAACATGTTTCCCCCTCAGTACACTCACAAATTATCTGTCCATTTGTGTGTTCCATTTATTTCATAAAATTAGCTGTGCTGAGTTGCATTCTTTTCACTCTGTTGCAAATTTTTTTATGTGTATGTTCTCTGTGTGTGCATACACAAGCACACATACACATATTTATGTATATATTCTATATTTATTTACTTACATTCTTCTGGGAGAGATGCAAAGGAATTTTTTGCCATAGGATTCTCATGTAATTCAGTTACTGAAATGTTGCTGCTCTCTTCTTTGCAATTTGGATTCAAGAGCATCACAGAGTGGGGAACATCCCAGGGTAGTACAATATTTGTATTCTAAATATAGCAAATACCACAAATACCAGAGTAGCAAATGTCTGTATCCCAACATCAGATTGATCCCCCAGACAATTCAGTTCCCAGACTGAGGAAATTTGAAGTATTAATTTCTTGTAATTTCTTCTTTAAGGCGGCTTGATTCAGGTTTATTTAACTATCCTGTAGTTCCCATGGTCCAAGATACCTGGCTCTGAGAGCGGAATTGCATGGGGTACAATACTTTTTGCCTATTTGGCAAACTTTGCTCACAGAAAGTGAGTTGTGATATTGGGATATAAGTCATGACAAATCAAGGTTAGTCAATTCCTAATGTTACACCTCATTTTATTTATGCTATTTTGGCTTTGTTTTACCATCTTTTCACAGCTTTGAACCTGAGAACAAGTTCTTTAACAAGTGCCTTTTTCCTCTGAGAAAATAAGTCAGCAGGACTTCACGTTTCCGTAAAATGTAGGTTGCATGGTGGCCAAAACATAAAGCGAATCCAAAGCCTGCAGTCCATCCGACATCTGTGCAGTGTAGCACTGGGATCTTGCGGGCTATTTTGTTTTCATGGCCAGTATGCACAGCAACTCTTTCTTTCATGCTCCTGTAAGAATGTACACCCAAAGCATCATTCAATATCAGGTTTACAAAGGGATTAAACAGGGCTGGAGCAGTCCAGAAGGCCATTCTGGCACCTCCTGCCAGCATGACTCTTTTATTTGAAACTTGAGCCATGCTTTGCCTTTCGGTAGCCATTTGTTTGGCTTCTTACTGAAGGTGGGAAGTTCTAGGAAGGACCCGATCAACTCCAGCAGCCCATTTGTGCATCTGAAAAAATGCAGCAAGAAAGAATACATGAAGAATTCTGGAGGGAGAAAGTGAAGAGGTGAGCAGAGGAGAAGAAAGACAGAGACTGGACTGGAGGAGTGGGAAGAAGAAATGGAAGAAAACAGGGAAAGTGAAGAAGGGGCCATTGGAAAAGAGATGCAACAGTCCTATTCAACAATACCCATTATAATCTCTGGGCCATTCATTTTTCCTAGCCTGTATATTGCTTAAGCTAAGCCTAAGGCTTGCTGCATTTTTAAGTGTCCTAAAACTGGCTTTGAGCTCTTTTCTGGGTGGATTTGGCAAATGCAAGTGATCTTGTTTCTCCTTGGGACTGTTTCAGGGAGGAGCACTGCAGCTTAGCATATTAACGAGTCTTCATAGTTAGTGGGAACTGCTGTTTTTAAGATGAGCTTGTGCCTGACAGCTCAGAACCGGGGAGAAAGTGAACAAAGGGAAGGGGGGAGAGGGAGAAGCAGCAACTATTGAAATAAGATATTAATAGGTTAGAAAAAGCAGAATTAATGAAGACTTTTTAAAACATGCCATCAAGAACCCTGCCAGTGCAGAATTATTCATGTACATTTACTATTGTTTTTATCTGGCTCAAGCAGTAAGATTTCTACTGCTTCCCTTGGGAAAATTTTCTGCAAGAGAATAATTCCTAAGTTGGGAAAACTTTTTTGATATTAATCTTAAATTAGATTTTCTTAATTTTCTCCTATTACTTTGAGTTATGTCAAGTTATGCTGTACTAAATTGCCCTCTCTTTCTATCATGTGTCTGTAGATGATTATCACTGTCTACTTAAAACCCTTGCAACAATGCATGCTAGCTATGAGCACGACATACCTATGATCCCAGTGTTGAGCTGACCTATGCAGACTGAATTTGTTTTGCGCCTTCCTTACTGGCTCTCCCCAGTTTTAGCATTTCTTCAGGCTCTGTTTGGTTTGGGAGCACTTTTCTGCAGAAGAGGTACCCAGGCAGAGTGTAGCTCGCCAGGCGCCGTAACATCCGAGCCGTGGAGATGGAGCCTCTAAGCTTCATTCCTGGATGATGTCTTTCAGTATACAGACCAAAATAGCCTTGGCTGTATTCTTGTTGCAGTCTGATGTTGCAAACCAGGTCTTACCTACTGTCTGTAAATCTGTTTCAGCTTTAAAACTTTCCAGTCTTCCGTTCGTCAAACATCTGTGCTTTGTTTTTTTTTTTTTTCTTTGCATTTCTTAGCTGTATTTTCCAAACAGAAGCTCGTTCTATTATTTTCTACTCCCATTTCTAATGTCTCTAGGTCCTTTCTTTTTATTTTCCTGTCCTGGCAAGCTTTCATAGTATCTCCTAGTCTGCAGATATCATTACTATCTGATTTGTTGCTGCTTCTATAAGATCCATGAAAATATTGCATAAGAACAGATTTAGCACATGTCCCAGGGAGCGTGCTGGTTGACACCTCTGCAGAAATGACTTGAAGGGCAGTAGAAGAGGTTATGATGGTGTTCATACTCATGGCCTCAACAATTTGGGTAAAGCGACTAGACCAAATAAAACAAGTATAAAAAGGACATCAGGAGTCAGAGGTGACATTATGCCTATGGGAGGGATGAGAGGGGAATATTACGCTGATCAAGGAAGGTGGGAAGTAGGCATGTTCTCTCTCTGTTTCATGGGGAGGAAAAGATGATTAATACCAATGGAAATAAGCACATGCTTTGGTTGTTTGTAAGATTTTTACTGCTGCATTGTTTTTGCGTTGTTTTTACCTTACATTAGAATAGTGTTCTCTCAAAATCTCTTCCCCTCACTGTGCTTATGAAAGCTTGAGCAGGAAAACACACTCAAGTGAAAACAATGTGCATGAGGGTGAGCCAAGCTTCTGCTTTCTGGAAGAGAAATTGGGATCTGTTTGTTCTGATCTGGATCCAGCCATGTGTGCTCTGAAAATGCAGAGGCAGCTTCTGTGCCTGCCTGGGCACCCTTAGGTGAAGCTATGCTGTTGGGTGGCTTGTGCTACCCTGGAGGCTGTTGTTTGTCTCCTCCAGGAGAGACAGAGTTGGATGGATCCATCCTGCAGGTTGAGTCATGAGCCATCGGTTGGGTCACCTTGGGTTTCAGTGCATGTGCTGGGAAATAGGACTCGAGCCTCAACCACTAGTTCTTCCCTAGGCTCTTGTTCTCTCTTTGTCTGTGGTATCATTCTGAGACATGGGATATTTGCATTAGGTAGAGTGCCACTAGATACTATCACAGTACAAAAAATGATAATAGCACATTTAATTAATTCTTTGCACTTCAGTTTTGCTTTTGCAGTTGTCTTCACAGTGAATTCTGTACCGCTGCCCTGGCTTAGTTTAGCCAGGACATAACACACCCATATTCCTGTAGGAAGTGATGGGCTCTTGCTCTCCGGGCCAGGCGGGATGCCTGCAAATCTTACCTTCCTGGGTCTTGTCTGCATCTCTAAATACTCGAAGCTGTGGTCAGGCGTCACTTGTGGCTACTGATTACTGCTTCTTAAAATTCATCTGTGTCCGCAAGTCATTTAAAAAGCATTTTCCACATCTGTCCCTGGGTGCCCCAGCCCATCAAACTAAACCACCAATCTGGTTTTCCACAGCTGTTAATTTTGCTGGTCTCATTTCCACTTGATTGCAGGGAGGAAAGCAACAACTGCGCAGTGTCCAGTTTTCCATTCTTTGTCTCACAGCGAGCTGTCAGGATCTGGCATCGTTTGCAGAGCCTCCACTGTTTGAAGTTCATTTTTTTTTTTTCTGGCACTTCAAATGCTCTCACAGGCCCCCAAGGTTGAGAACCAGGTTTGTCAGACAGAGAGGTCAGACAGGGGTTACCGATGCTATCGCTGAGAGGCGAACTGTCATCACCAGACTTGGAAATTATGAACGGGGTGTGGAGGGGGAGTCCTCGGTAGCTGGTGCTGCTGCTGATCCAGAGATACTTGGGAAGAGTGGCAGCTCCTGACGGTGCTGTGGCTGTTTTGGAGCAGGGGTGGCCCCAGGAGAGGGGTGCAAGTGGGAGCTGTCCTCAGAGGAGAGCAGCCAGCAGCTCCTGCTGATGCCAAAGCCTGTTGATGTTGGTGGAAGGATTCCCGCTGCTTTGGTGGTCAAGCCCCACCTGCACAATGCGTGTAGGAAGAGGGACAATGTTTAATTCTTAGTTATATCATTGCACTTAGTACACCAGCCTTTCCCATTTTCATACTTTCATACATTTCTGAATGCTTTGACAGTGGAGAGTAAAATGTTTCCTCTCTTTTTCCTTTGTCTATCCCCACTTTCTGCCTCTGCTTCCAGCACTTAGCAGTGCTCACTTGGAGAAGGAGGAATTGAGAAGTGGCTTTTTCTATGGCAGACACTGACATTTGCTTCTGTCTTCTCTGCCCAGCCTATAAGTGAATGCCATCTTTATTTCCCCTTTCTTCAGAAGATGAGAGTATCATCTTTATGTTGTACTCCTGCCTTGTAGATTTGACTAGCAGGCACCAGGCAGCCTTCGACATCCATGGGGAATCTACTCAGGCAGAAACAACGCGGGCTGTCATGTAACCGTGTGGAGTAAACTGCATGGTACCAAGAAAGACCCTGGAGTTCCTCTTGAGTACCTGGGAAGGTTTTCAAGTCACTTATGTCACTGCAGGAGGAGTTAAGGATGAATTAATTATTTTTGTATTGGTAAAACTGCATCGTATTTATTCATACCGGAATCTCCTTCAAAAATGCGTGCTGGAATGGCTACTTAGTTTCTGTCTATGGTGATCAAACACTATGTAAGCAGAAGGTTTCTCAGTAATTTATCACATAGTAAAATCTTACTAGAATGGGAATGACTGTGCTGGTGGCTGCATATAGATTTATGGATTGTCTGCTCCAAAACTTGTTAAAATAATAATATGAATAGGTTGCTCAGAAGTAACAATACATACAACACTAAACAGAACATAAACTAAGCTTACAGATGAATGCTCTTGGCATAAAAGAGGTTTCAACCTAAAAGAATGGGACCCATGAGGGGGACATTTTAAGTTTTATCCTACTTTGTAATTGTAAATTGCCTTATAGCAGGGCCTCATTGGTAACAAGATATATATTGAATTAGCTAAACAGTTAATTGATGAAGCTCTGGCTTTAAAATGAGTGACTATAAATAACGGATACAATTCATCCGCGGTGTCCAGTAACACCAGTGAAGTCAGTGAAATTACACCAGGATTGAATTTGATTCCTTCTGTCTTTGCTTATCAGGAATACAACTTGCCCAAACATTTTATGGGGAAACATTTGCCTTAGGCTGTTTATACTGGCTGTGCTAAAGATTTGGAAGGGGAGGGAAAAAAAAAGAGCAGCTGTAGGAAGAAATCACAAAAATACTTTGTGTAATGTTCTACCTCCTTTTTCTCTCTCCTTTAATAACAGGGCAGCACGCTGAGAAAGCGGAAGATGTATGAAGAATTCCTGAGCAAGGTCTCCATTTTGGGTCAGTTGCCCTTTGACTTGTGTGTTAGTTCCTCTGTTATATGTGTTGGCGGAATGAATTTTGGTCTTTGATGGCACGATGAAACCAATGGTGGTCAAACAGAAGGTCTCACGGTTGCGTCGTTTCCGAAGGAATGAAAGTGTAAAGGGCCCTTTTTAGGACTTGTTTTTCTCATTCTTTAATATGCACTGAACATTTGTTTGAAGGGCAAATCTTTCCTTAAATATGGGAGCAGGCATGCACTGGTAACCTTTTGGTAGCTGCTGTTGCAGTAGACATAATATGGATTGAGGAGAAAGCAGTGCAGAGATATGAATTTGTCATAAAGTCTAGTTACATCCTTCCAGGTGACAGGTGAGGAGCTTTTTCCTGTGAGAATACTGTATTTATGTGCACTAAACAAACTAACCTCACAAATCAAAACGGACTGATTTTTTTTTTCTTCTGTGTATTTTACAGCCCCTGTCTCACATTCTTAAAACATCTGTTTAGCTTCTTGTCCTTGGATTTTGTTTCCCTTTGATTAATGTGATAGCCACGAAATTTGGACATGTTCTTGATGGCCTTCAGTAGGAAAAACAACAAACCCATAATGCCTGACCAATCAATCACCATTAGGAGAACAAAAGCTTCTAATAAGGAGGACAGTGTTAGACAGTACAATGAAATGTTGATGCTGTAGGAGAAACATGTTTCTGCTGGGGCTATTTTGAAAAAAAAACAGAAACAGTACAGGATTAATCTGCTATGTAATTAAAATACTTACATTTCTATTTGAACAATTTTCTTTTCTTATTTATCGTATTCCTCTGCCATTTGAGCTTATTTACCTGAAATATGAGAGTCTTAGTGGAAATATACTTGAACTTCTGAGAGGTGCTATGCGTGAAATTTTCAATTACATTTGTACGCTTAAAGTAAGGCCAAGTATGTTGCTCACTTATTAATGAAGTTTTCATCATTTAAATGCCTTATTTTATGCTTAATTTAAATCTTCCTAAATTAAGAGTGCAAATTATACCAAATTACAATGAGTATTTAAAGAAAAAAGGATCTCTGCACCTGCACTAATGAGAAGCAATTACAACAATGAGACATTTCAAAACAATTTCAGAGTAGAAAGGTTATTCAAAGATGCACTTCCTTAAACATGCGGTTTGCAATATAATTATATCCTAGTTTGTAGTACGGCTTTTCAATCTCAGTAAAAAATGAGGTAGGACTTCAAGATTTGAACCTTTTTTAAGTATGGAAAAGCACCAGACAAAATAACGCATCATTTCAGGAGCATTGAGAATTTAGGTGAAATGTGTAAGGATCTATTTCACATGTCTAAAAAGTAGATGACAGCTGGGAAACAGAAAGGTATTTTAGAAATCTCAACACAGCATTGAGAAGTCAACTTCACTTCGTGCCTTAATGTGGTCAGAACTTGGTGATTTCGTGGTGGAAAAACCTCTACCTGCTGCTTATATATATTTTGAAAGGCTTGCATAGTGTCTGTAGCTAGCCATATAACTGTAAGAACAATTTATTTTTTTTTTAAATCTAAGGATTTTTTAGATTATCAGCAGCTGCTTATAGTGTATTGAACAACATATGAGAAAACTAATTGTTTAAAATCTTTCTTCTGGAGTTTAATTAAATGTAAAGCCATGAATTGATATGTACAATTTAGAAATTGCAAAAAATTGCATATGGCCTAGTTTATTTGATGCTTGACTACAACTCTGCAACTAAAACTTTAGGAGCTTTATCATGTACAATCTTATATATGATGCTCTGTTTGCAAAAACCATTAACCAATGTATTTGTAATGGCACAATTCCCTTAGACAAAAGAGAGACACTTCGTGACTACAGCTAGAATTTGCTTTGAATTTTTCATAAAGCCAACTGAAGAAGTTTCAAGAGACTCTTTCTTTTCATTGTTAATTACTGAGTTGTTTTTTTTTTTAATGAAAAAGCCTACTTTAGTCTGTATGAAAGAGTTTTATGCTTATTTTTAGTCAAACAGAGCACTTTTTGAATGTTGCATTGACAATATGGGCTTGGTCTTTGATATTAATGCTTCTGCAGCAAAAGCCACAAATACACCGGGAAAGTGCATTAGTGACTATTAGAAGTAATCATTTCCCAAACAGCAACAGAAAGTGGCATAAAAATACAAAGATGCATGTGTGTCAGGCAACTCAAAACTTACCTTTGGTGCATTGATCACTTCGATCCGGTTTTGTTACCAGACTCAGTGTGCACTTCCGAGCTCAGCAAAAAGGTTTTTTAACTTTTAAAGAACAACTCTTTCTCCCTCACACAATACTTCTAAGCAATATTTTGAACAAAAAGGGAAAACCAGAATCTGAGAGAACAGCCCAGATCTAATCCTGGTGTCAAGAGCCATGTCTTGACTTACCATAGTTCAATAATTCATAATAAGTAAGAATCAGCAGAGCTCTAGTACATGAATTTTAGCCCAGCTTTTTGAGGCAGTGAAGGTTATATCATTGTATTATCTGTTTCTTTTAATAACTTCTAAACCTGTCACTTCTTTCAGTCAAATCTGATAAAAGTACAGAAGTTCAAGTACAATTCATTGTCTTGAATTCTCATGCAAATGGGTAGAGGAGAGAGACACAGGTTGGCACCCCTCCTCTTCCCGAGGGCAGGACGGGTAAAATTCATCCCTTAGCAAAGGCAGGAGGAGGACGGCAGTGGGACAGTGAGCAGCCCTGGACTAGCCGCTGTGCAGGGCTCTGTCTTTTGCCATGTAGGTATCACAGGGGATTTGTGGCAGCTGCAGGGGGGTGATAGGACACAAAGGCAGAGGAACCAGGCTGTATTAGCTCCATTACTCATAAAACAGACCGTTAGTATTTTCTTATTGAAGTTTATTTTGAAGTTTTATAACTTTTCTCTCTAAGTGGGGGAATGAAAAGAAAAACACTTTGTAAGCCATCCCACTGGCCAATGAAACGAAGGTGCCACTTCGAAGATCCCTACTGAGCCTCTGATCCCACTGCCACCCTGCTATCAGGGTCTTGCCCTTGGCTTCAGTGCTGCGTGATCTCACCCACGGGAAGAGTCATCTTTTGGATCGGCACTTCTGCATCGCTTATCTAGTGGGCCATCGGTAACCGGCTGAGAGCAACTCTGATGAAAAGACAGTAGGACTTGTTCTGACACCTGGTGTGGGATGTGGTAAGAGAGGATATCGGCACTCCCATATCGCTGCTATCTCCAAACAGCTCCTAGGCTGCTCCAATCCACTGCAGCATCAGGGCAGCACAGATCAGATCGCAGGCTTAGGGAACTGGAGCCAACTTTTCCTGTCCAACTTCTAAGATTATTATCTGGGTGATTACTAAAGTCTAAGACACAATGAATAAATGCATTCATGTTTCCCAACTGGAGGTTCGTGCAAAGTGCCTGGATGAAAGAAATGTTTCTTTTATAACAGAACCAAGCATAGCAGAGCTGTCAGTTTAGATACAAATCTTCAGCCAAAGTTAGAGTCTTTTTATAATAAAGCTTTATGATCTTCAATATTTTAGAGTCCCTGGACAAATGGGAGCGGCTGACAGTGGCTGATGCACTGGAACCTGTCCAGTTTGAAGATGGAGAAAAAATTGTTGTGCAGGGAGAGCCCGGTGATGACTTCTTCATTATTACAGAGGTAAGGTTGGCATCCTGATAAGCTCTGTCATTTCCTGGTAAGGAACAAGACTTTGTATTAAAGACATTTGGGTTTAATTTAATCTCTTACTTCAGCATAAATCTGAACTAACTCCACTCAAACCAGGAGAATTGCTCAAAATTCAAATGAATTCAGACACCAGTTCCATGGAAATGTCTTAAGTGGGACGATCCCTAATTTCCAGTAAATTGAAGACGCAGAGAAATTTTGAGGTGTGTCTAGTGTCTTTACTGTTTGAAGGTTTGTTTTCTACATGAGATTTTTCTTGTTTAAATCACCAATACTTTAACAAGGCAAGATCATTGTTCCCAAAGGGTCTTATAGGGGAAATCACAAATGAACATCTAAACTGGAGCAGGAGACCTGATGTGAAAATGGATAATTTGTTCTTTGTTTTGCCTTAAACTCAGTCCAAATGGCTGAGCCATTTTCTCGTTTACTCTCACACAGGCAGACAGATCTGTCAGGCAGCTGAAAATGCTGACATCTTTTGGGAGATTATCTGACACTTTGGTTCCACCGTCTCACTTCTGCAAACAGATGCTGATGGGGGTTTTTCCTCCCTCTCTGACATAAATATTTGGATCCTTAGTATCTCATACAAATACCCAAGTGCTGTGATATAATAAGTTATAAAAAGGTATTAGACAGACTCAGACTAATAACAAGACAGCATTAGGATATGATTGTATATGTATTGAAGTAGGAGCTTTTCAGTACCAGCTGTGAGTGTTCATACACAAATCTATAGACAGGGAATGACCAACATATGGCTGTGTGGTGACAGTTCAAGTGCAAATCCCAGGCCAGATGTTACATGACCAGCAACAAGGCAGCGGTGGCAGAGGAGCTAGGAGGTAATCTGAATCCCTCACTGTGGGAGAAGGAGGGTCAGGTGGATGTAAGGAAGCTGGTGTCGTCGTGTTGCCTTGGGATCCAGTTGTATGTACACAGAATATATCTCTGGCTCCATCAGGCTGCCATGTGGTGATGTGATTTAGGAGGAAAGAGACCCTGCCCCGCTCAGGTAATAAAGGGCTTGTACAGCGCCCATTCCAAATGGCTTAGAGGCCAACAGGTTTTTCTTTGATTGCTCCTTACCTGTGGATTTTTGGACAGGTGCCTCTATCCAAGGCAGCCAGAATTTGGTTCATAGTCAATATCTGATACTTAAAATTCCATCCTTCTTTCCTCCTGAATGTTGGAAATATGTATTGGATTTATGAACACAGTTTTTCTTCTAATGCTCACAAAATTGTCGGTGCAAATAACTGCACCTGTATATCACACAGTTAGACACTTAAGGAACTTTAAATATGTGACGAGCAGTGCCCCTTCAAAACAATAGCGTCACAATAAAAGAGACTAGATATTAGATAGGGATTTTTTTTTGTTAATAAGATATTTAGTATATAAGAAAAATTTAGGAAATATAACTTTTTCTCAGAAATACGGAATTTTTATTTCTACTAGTGTTACTAAGTGTGCTGTTATTCCTTGCAGCAGCATGAGACTAGGAAAACCTAATTTTCTTAGCCATCAAATCCCATGTGGAAAATTGGCAGCTTGCTTAAGAATTACCAAGGGCCTTTATTTTCCCCGTCTTGATGGAACAGCTGTTAAGACTTAAATGGGTAGAAAAGTATTAACCCTGCATACTGCATAATCATAAAGTATCTGCTCACCTCACCCTTCCACTATAAATCTAACATAGTTTCTCACTTTGGAAATTGCCTATATTTTTCTACATTAAAGAAGGAACATCCAGTAACAACTGTTTCTTGTGCTGCAGTAGTATTTATGCCTGCTCACACATAGTTTAAGTTTTATATTTTAAACCTGATTTCACAGGAGTTTACATCTTTGACGTTAAACTTTTCTGCAGGAAAGTTGATGCGAGCCGCCAGGAACACATTATTCTACAAACTGGTTGAAAGTAGTTTTGGCTGGTTTGTTGTCACAATATGTTGAAAAGTCATTAGCTTCTTTCACATATTTTTTTATGTTTGTGGCCTTATAATCCAAAACACTCAAAATGCAGCCAATTTGTTTGGCTACTATATATGCAGAAACCATTTCATATATCACCAGAATGCGGCCTCCTTTGGAGTACAGTATGTCCGGTAGTACAAAGCTAAACTTTGCCACACAATTTTTGGGCAAGGTACTCATTTATTATAAAACATGTCATTTATGGCATGCCTTAGACAAATCAGTTACCAATTTACAAAGCTGTTCTGCACCAGCATCACAAATACTGGTTCCAAGTGGGATCGTGTGACTGCTGTCATAAAAAGGTTCTCTAAGACACTCAAAACTCACACATGGATTTTAAAGTGTTAGCACAGTTTTGTATGAACTTCATGAATTAATAATTCATGTCTGGTTAGCCTGCAGCACTGCGTTCCTATGTGACATCCCTTTGGGATACCATCTTTTAAGTATATTGGTCCTGCAGAAGGACATAGCCTGTAAGTGAATTGGCACCTTCAGGATTTGCAGGCTGAACTGCAACCATTAAACCCTTTTGAAAGGGAGACTTCTAGCCTAGGTCATGATCAGAACAGCAATTCCTGCTTTAAACCAGGATATCATCCTGGTTAGTATGGACAAGAATATTTAGTCTCCCCCTTCTGTCAAGCAAGCACATTCACCTTTTCCCCTTTTTTCTTGGTATAACCTTTTTTTCATGGCTTTCTGTCCACTGTCATATCTGCAGTGTTGCAAAGATTGTAGCAGGCTGCAGGTTATTGAGGTGCAGGCTGTATGCATAAAAATGCTACAGTGCGCCGTGGAGAGCAAGGCTGCAGCAGGAGCTCAGCCAAATTATTAGAATAACAGAAAATGTGCACAGGGAAAAGTCACAGGAAACCAGGGCTTTTTAAGTTCACTGCTCACAAAGCTGTTTATGGTTCATTTTTTGTTAAAAAGTCTCATGAGAAAAGTATTATCCTGAGATTCCAGGACAGCTACAGTTTTTCTGGCGTCCTAAATCTTCACAGGCACCAGTAAGATGTTTACTTGTAGGTTGGGTGCTTTTCCATTTAAATCTCAAGCAACCTTCAACAAGATTTAGTTTTAATATTTAAAGGCTGTGATTTTTTCCAGAGATAGAATTATTTTAATGTTTATACCATATTCCTTAATTTGAAGATAGGATCAGAAATGAATGTCTGCTTACAAAAGCAAAGTAACCGCTTCTGTGAGATTGATTTACTGCACTTGAAACTGGTAATTAAAAAAAAGAAAAAAAGAAGCAGCCCTGCAGTTTCTGTATTTTCAGATATTTCCAGGTCTTATTTTCCCACTCTGGTTTTCACACAACAAACTCGGGCTTTCCCAGACCAGACAGATGTGGAATGTATCTGCTGGATTCCAAGGTCATGGAATTATCCCATATGAGATTCCTGGCACAGAGGTGAAAAACTTTAAGCACCATGAAACAATTGTTGCCATAAATAATTACATTTTGGCAAGCATAAATCATAACAGATGTACAGTTTCTAACAAATAAATTTGCCGTTGTATTGTACACTGCCACCCTGTGTACCCAGCAGTAGGGAGGATTTATTCATCTGACTTCAGATAACGCAAATATTTTTAGCTAGCATTTTAAAGTGGTAGCTTGCAAAGGCATGTGAGCTTTCCAGAGTTAAATATCCCAGCAAATGTTAAGTCCCTTTAAATGAAATGCCAGTGGAACGGGGGCTGATTTCATTCCCAACTCGTGCTTTGCCACTGACTTCAGTTCGAACAGTAGTTCAAACTACTGTAGTAGTGCTCTGGAACTGGAAAAAAATGAGGTTTTTGCTGTTGCCTAGGTTACGGAGAAAGGTAGTGACAATAGTATTAAAAATAGCGGTTATGATCATGTACCACTCTCTGAAGTTCAGCTTCGAACTTGGCTGGGTGGCACAGCACCTCGAAGAAAGTCCGTAACGCAGCTGCCAGAAATGCGGGGACCTGCAGCCATGAAGTGCCCTGCTGGGTTTTCCAGCTCCCACCCCTCCCCATGTCAGATCGTTTGGATCTACTTGTCATGACCGAGCACCGTATACGGCACACGGATATTGTCACGGGACTCTACCGACTGTGCTCAGGGAGTCTTGTAATCTCAGCTGCATACTGAGAGCTTGCTGAACTGCTGCCATATGGCCCTAACGCTCCATAAAGTTTTGACATGGCTTAAGAAAAATGCATGCACAGACACAAACGTATGCAGGTGTAGGAGGAGAGAACAGCAAAAGGTTTATAATAGTGCCACACTGCGCCCAAAGAGCACAGTTTGTAACTGTCCTTTAAATGTGCTCTCCATAGCCTGTCATCTCCTCAGGACAGTTTGGTTTAAGTGGTGCAGAAAGCAAAGAAATAAAACTGCATGAGAAGCAAAACATTTCCAATTAATAGTTGGTCGAGTTGCCCAGCAATAGCATGCAGCAGCCTAAAAATAAAAGACCTAAAAATAGAAGATAATTCACAGGAGAAAATTCAAGGGGAAATGGACACATCGTATCGAGTAGTTTCACATTAGATTTTTGTTTTTAACTTTAAAAACTAGAATATTTAATTGTAGATTAGTGCTAAGTTACAGGGGGTAGTGGCACCCTCCTCTGCAACTCCTTTGTGAAAAGCACTTCAAAAAAGCTGGGGATTTGTGTTCTTTGTTATTATCCTGCTGGTTACAGAGGAGGCAGAGTCAGGGCATCTGATTTTCAGTCTCACCTGTATTATCAGTCCAGTCTGTGGGCAGAACATTACCCTCCCTGTTTCCCCATCAGTGGGAATAATCCTAATGACACTTCATAAAGGTGAGCAAAAGTTAATAGGAAAAGGCATAAAGTATCCGTCAGTACTGAAACCAGGCAATGGGAATAGCAAAACTGGCAAGTAAGAGAAATGTTTTCATTGATGGTGCAGAAATCCTTCCAGAATTAATGCACAGAGCTGCCCGATTGACAAAAATGAATAAAGTTAGTCGG